ACAGATTGGAGGGATCCGTTTCTTGTATGACAATCTTGTGGAGTCGTTGGAGAGATACAAATCCTCAGGAGGGTTTGGCTGCATCCTGGCTCACAGCATGGGCCTGGGGAAAACTCTACAGGTTAGTATAGTATAGAAAGTTCTGTGTTGGTAGTTATATGTTTAGAGTTAAAACTTTAGATCCAACACAACTGTTGACGTCACACTTCAAAGAAGCCACATGACAAGCCTCACTGGGTCAGTCTACTGAGAGTAACTGGTCAAAAGCTCTAGATGAGAGAACTTTTTTGTGTTGGATCTAAAGTTTTAACTCTAAACAGGTCAGTATAGTGATAGCCACAGTCTTTATCTATCTTGAACATTCATCTGTGTTGGTAGAAGTCATTATGAAACAAGCTTGAACTGCAATTTCCAACACAAAAATTGGACTCACCCGTATTTTTGACTGTACAACTCCAGTCTTTGTCAAGGAATTCCTTGACAAAGACTGGAGTTGTATCGTCAGTCTAAAATTTTGGTGAGTCCAATTTTTGTGTGTTGGAAATTGCCATCTTGTGCCCTTTGGAAAGGCGCTTACACGACTTTCCTCAGTTCGCTCAGGTGAAAATGAGTATTATATTGTCCCCTGTGTTGGTGGCGACATTAATATAAGTTGAAAAAACTTGAGTGTGCCTTCACCACGTCTTGTGATTACATGTTGCAATATATAGAAAAAATAATTTAAAAAAAAATTGTTCAAAATTTTCTCCCCACCACAGCTGATCTCCTTCATCGACGTGTTCCTGAGACACACAGAAGCCAAGACGGTCCTGTGTATTGTCCCCATCAACACACTACAGAACTGGTCAGCAGAGTTTAACATGTGGCTGCCCACTAAGGAAGCAGTGGACGCTGCCATACAGCAGGGTATAGCTCAGGAGGGGGAGATCCAGCACAGGGAGTTTGGGGTGTATCTTCTCAACGATAACTACAGGACCAACCTGGCCAGGGCTAAACTTATCGGTAAGATGATGATGATGACTGGTTTATCATTCATACATTCACTAAAACATTATACAGGTTAAAAGTCACAATACAAAATCAATAGTACAGTAGAACTGTGATCGTTCAGTATAATGTAAGGACTGACTGCCAGATCCAGCACAGGGAGTTTGGGGTGTATCTTCTCAACGACAACTACAGGACCAACCTGGCCAGGGCCAAACTTATTGGTGAGACTATAGCTAACTGACAGAGTTTGCCAGTAGATTCAGATTTATTGCAATCAACTTGCATGTTACATACACTTGTATGATAACATAAAATCTGTTGAATATCCTTAAAAACCAAAGCTTACATAATAAGAGATCACAAGTAAATTTCACGATTGTCATCCAGAAGCAAGTAGAAGTAAGTAAAATTGAAGCCTTGTATTGTTACACAATATTAATATAGATTAGCTCTTCAGTTCAGTTCCTGTATGTTCCACCAAAAAAAGATATCTTTTTCTCAAGCAACCAATAATAACTTATACTGCATTTCTAATAGTGCTAATTTGAAAGTGCTAAGTAAGAAAAAAAACATATCTGTATTCTTACCATGAAAGTTCATCTGTGTTGGTAGTTACATGTTTAAAGTTAAAACTTTAGATCCAACACAGTAAAGTTCTCTCATCTAGAGCTTTCGACCAGTCACACTGGTCTTTCTCAGTAGACTGACCCAGTGAGGCTTGTCACGTGGCTTCTCTGAAGTGTGACGTCAACACTGATACCTCTATTGTTGTTCCAGATAAGTGGTTTAAGACCGGCGGTGTCCTCCTGATGGGGTATGAGATGTACAGACTGCTCATCTCTAAGAAGATCATGCTGACTAACAACAAGAAGAGGAGAGGCAAGCAGCCCAAGGACATGGAGGTCATTGACCTGGAGCAGGAGGACACCAACCTCGCTATCTTACATGGTGGGTTACTTTTTTTAATTTATTTATTTCATATTCACCATAAAACAAGAGCCACTCAAATGTTTTGGGTTACTGTACTAGACAGTGTGGACAGATGTTTGTTGACCTTAGACTTGAAAAGTTAAATGTTATACCCATATGGGAAACAATCACGTGGTAGCTTGTTCAATAGTGAGGTAGTTCTAGGAAAGAAGCTTTCAGCATGGAACTTCCTCCTAAGATGAGGTGTATGGAGGAAGAATGATTTGCTTTAGTGGAAGTGGCAAAATGTTATTGTTTCAGACTGGGATTGTTTTAGGGTGAATTGGAAATACAATTTGGTAGTATGCCATGCTGCACTATCTGAATTGGATTTCATTATGCTTATAGTACCACATTGATGTGAAAATAATACCACAATCATGGTTAACTAACATCCTAGCTCATGAATAAGACCTTAAAACATGACATAATGATGGAATGGACCTATACCATTAATACGTCACAGTTTGTTTCCCTGTTCTAAAGAACTTTCTAGAATGGTCAGTTAAAGAATAGAGATCATTTCAAAGTTTTCAAAGTCAGGTATGTTTAATTTTTGCTGCGTCTAGTCTTGTTGACACAGCATTACATGCCGTAATGGGTGATTTAGTGTGACATAGTTGTGACATTAGACGAAAGTAGTACTGTATAAAGGCCTTATATTAAGTCTAAAGCTACACAAACACACACCGCGCTACGCACCCCTGTACAATATAAACGTCGATTGACCGGCATTCATTGCGGTAAACAAACTGTGACGTAATAATGGTATAGGTCCATTGTTTGGTGTGGAAGATGGATTTTTTGTTCCTGTTTTGTCAGGAGTCCACAAGGCCCTAGCCAGACCAGGTCCAGACCTGGTGATCTGTGACGAGGGACATCGCATCAAGAACGCTCACACCAGCGTATCACAAACACTCAAGAACATCAGGACTAAGTAAGTCTCCTTCAGCAATACTCAATGTTGTGCACATGGCACTAATTTGACATTTATGTATCATGAATATCATACAAAGCACGTTGGCAGAACTTACTGCGCCTGCACGGAACCCCAATTTTTCACGGTTTTCGTTGGATATTTGGTCACTGTTGCATTAGAATTTTGCCTGTTGCAGAGGGTATCTTTTCCGACATAACATTTGGAAACTGCAAACAATATGTTAACCTTATATACACAAATATGACCTTATGAAACATTCTACGGATTTCTTGCAGGTGCAGTAAGTTCTGCCGACACGCTATCATACATGTATGTTGACAAATTCTGAGGCAGCAAGTATTCAATTGGACTCTACAAAGCAGTACCGGGTAGTCATTTTGCTGGTCAGATATTATTTCGGGTCCAAAATATGAATCCAATTGCTACACCCTTGCTTGAAAAGGCACATTGTACAATCCTCACTCTAACCATGTTTCCTGCCCCCCTCCCGCCCCAGGAGAAGAGTAGTGCTGACAGGTTACCCCCTGCAGAATAACCTGATGGGGTACTGGTGCATTTCTAACACTGCCATGTTTCCCCCTCCCCCCCCCAGGAGAAGAGTCGTGCTGACTGGCTACCCCCTACAGAATAACCGGATAGAGTACTGGTGCATTTCTAACACTGCCATGTCCCCCTCCCCCCCCAGGAGAAGAGTCGTGCTGACTGGCTACCCCCTACAGAATAACTTGATGGAGTACTGGTGCATGGTGGACTTTGTCAGGCCAAACTTCCTGGGCACACGGCAGGAGTTCAGCAACATGTTCGAACGACCCATCCAGAACGGGCAGTGTATAGACAGTACTCCAGAGGTAGGCAAATATTCATTGACAAGTTATCATGAAAGTTCATGTTGGTAGTTACATGTTTAAAGTTAAAACTTTTGATCCAACACAAAGAAGTTCTCTCAAACAGAGCTTTCGACCAGTCACCCTGGTCTTCCTCAGTAGACTAACCCGAGTGAGGCACGACTGTCATGGTCTGAGTTAAATAGGTCTCCTATAGTGTCTAAAGAGGAAGCTAGGGTTAGTTCTACTTGCAGTTGGTTGTTGTCATCTTTGATCCATGAAACCTACCTGTTTTAAGGTAGCATTTTCTGAGTTTTATATGGTTAAATAGCCAAGGGAAGGTTAGCGGTAATTGGTAAGGAGCCTAATGCCTACAATTTTTAATATGTGTAAAAAAGTACTCAATTCAGCCTATGGCTGAGGTATACTTTTGACTTGATCAAAATGATCAAATAAACCTTTCATTTTGATGGTTCATCATTCATTCATTCGTTCATTCAAACTTTTCTTGTGTGTTTTCCAGGATGTGAGATATATGCGGTATCGGGCACATGTTCTTCATAGTTTACTGGAGGGTTTCGTTCAAAGGTAGGAAACTTCTTATTACTTCAACACAGTTAATGTCACATGTATCACAAACGTATATCACATACATAATCCTATAGATACACTTAAAGGTGCTGAATGATGAGATACCATTTTACTTGGCAATGCTTGTATAGTGTATCTGTATTGGTATAGCCGGTATAGCCACCCTTTGGCAGAGCAGACAAGCTTTGCAGGCACATGGTGTGGCAGCAGCTGGCTACATTACAGTAGTTTCCTTCGGTAAACATAACAAGTCGTTCGTGTAATT